AAAAGACACAGAAGGCAAAGAAAGAAGGAGGTGAGGAAAGGAAGAGTGATATTCCAGCTGCTGTTTGCTTTGTGCTGACTCACAAAGGAGCTGCTGGCTCATTAAGATAAATGACTGCAGGATACGGAAGCACGTCCAGAGCTCTCAGATACTGAAACAAAAACCCAAGGCTGGTTTTGTTAAGGAAGCAAATCCTCTGCTTCTGCATTTGGCTCCTTGTATCCACAGAGCTCAAGAACTCAGTTATTAAGCTGCTAACCAAAGCTCTGCAGGCACACAGGCTGTAAAGCAGCACCTATCCAGGGGGCTGGGTTCAGAGGGAAGGCAGCACAGCCCGGAGCAATCCTGCAGCACCAACCACCACATGAGAAACTACAGCAGGACTGAAAGCCCCAGCTGTGACACCACAGCAACCAGCTGCTCTTTTGCTTTCGCAGTGAACATTCTTTGTCATAGGCCAAGGCCGATTTCACAAAGCACCAAAAGCCCACGTGGCTGCAAAAGCCCAACCCTTATCAGGCACTATTAGCACAGCCCAACCATGTAGGGAAGGATCACAGCCCTTCTGCATGAAAACTACAAAAGAAGGTGCTCAGTAAGTATTAAAGGAGGCAGAAGATGGGCAATAAATGCAGGAGGCAGCGGTGCAATGAGAAGGAGAGGCCCCAGGATGGGCCCCCAAAGTCACTGCTCAGCTGCCTGCGCTGCCACAGCGACTCCAAATTACACCACACTCTGAGGGATGCTAATCCTGCACAGACATCTCCCTGCTTATAAAGGGCAGCAAAGCAGGAGATGAAGTCGTGTAACATCAGTGTTAGATGAGACAAATGAATGGACACGACTGCCACAGAGCTGCAGGGTCGGAAGACATTGTTTTCATTTAAATAGAAGCTATTATTTTTATTAACACCACATCCCTAACCCAAAACAAAGAGCTATAATTAGCCAAACCAGAAGAGATTATTCATACTTTTCTTCTTGAAAAGAACTCTACCAACGTTTTAGTTTCCACATTCAACACTTCCTGTACCTCATCTTTTAGCTAAAATAAGGGACTTGGACTCAAACAGCCACATGCAAATTGCTCCTGCTTGCCTGGCTCCCCCCAGCAGTGATGGATGCTGTTTCCCTTTGCCTTCACTGCTTTGCATTGCCAGTGCTCCAGGACAGCCCACCACTCTGAGTTGCAAAAATGCTAAATGCTAGTAAAACAATCATTTAAAATGTATTTTAAATGGAGAACGTGCTGCTTTGGTGAATTTTTCCCCCCTCTCTAAGCAACTGAAGCAAAATACACACCAGTTAAGTTCCCTGCAAGCAGGAAGGCTGCCATGCACATACTGCACTTGGAGACCTCAGCTCCAACAGGTACAGCCCTGAGCACGGGCTCTCAGCCACCACTCTCCCTTTTCAAAGCCACTTGGGGGTACAACTCCAGCCCCCAGCAATGCTCTCCTGCCCCCCAGGCCTGCTAGATCAGAAAACAACAGAAACACCAGGACAATTGAGCAACAAAAGGACATTACTGCAGCCTAGGTGCCAGCCAGCACCCCCAGCACTCATCACCAACACAACTGAGATGTCTGGTTGTTAGTAACAGGGCTATTCTGCTGGTAATGCTGCTGCACACCTGTACATTTCTACAGTTACACACTGATGCAATCTCAAAGATCACCAGGAAAGTCCCCTCAGGAGAACTGCCAGGAGCCACATTCCTGGATATTCAGAATGAGACAATATTTGGACTGCAGTGAGTCTTATCTGCTCCAAGGGCACAAGATAAAGTAGACTCAGCAGGTCGTGCCTACACACCTATCACACCAGACCCACCAAGGAATAATCACAAGGCAATGTCACACAAGGAAATGTTCCTCCTGCATGCCTTCTATCACTCTTCAACCAAAGAAAGCATGCCCAGGCCAAGTCAGTGAAGCAGCTCCCTGTGTGGAAGTGAAAAACTATCACCAGAACCAAGCAGACACGTCATTTCCTTTGGGGAGAGGGAAAGCCCCCAGAACACCACAACAAATGTGGTTAAGCAACCTTGGAAGACAGCACTGTTTCTGGGAGGTGAGGTAGAGACCGTTTTGGTGACAACGGGGTTGCTAAGCTCCCTAGGAAGATGACAGTCCTCATCGAAAGGCAATAAGGTAATAATAAACCACATATGCGCCCCATTCTCAGCTTTCTGACAGGAACTGCAGTAACCACGCTCTGGAATATGATGTCCAGAGCACGGACACAGAGAGCAGAGCTCTGTCCCAGCACAGTGTGCACACACACACCAGGGGAGAGGTGACAGCACTGCCCAGGGAGCTGCCTGTGTGCTCAGCCTCGGAGCTCACCGCAAACACCGTCGAGTGCCTCTTTGCTTCCTCCAAAAACACACAGGGAGCGCAGCAGAGAGCAGCCCAAGCGCTCGCTCAGG